GTATAAAAAACATTTGGGATGTTCTTCCTGAAATACTAAATTTTTCAGAAAAAAAAGTATTTAAAGATTGCCTTAAATTGTTTTGGAGAAAAGAACAATGTGAGAGGAGGTGATTATAGATTATCTACAATTGTTTTATATGATTCCTTGAAAGAGATCTGCAGACCAAATGTAAAAATATTTTTGCAGAATATTATGGAATTAGTCAAATCTGCATATTTACCATCACAAAGCAGGTCATCAAGGGAAATTCTTCGATTATATAACTTGGCATTTCAACATATCTTTTTTTGTCGTTTAGTAATTGAAAATAGTCCTAATAAAATCACTAAGAATAAACTCTACGGCATATATTATCATTCAATCACAACACATTTACCAGAAATTGCACGCATTATTTCACCGAGTTTGCTGCATACTGAAAATGAAGAGCAGATGTTCAGCAAAATCAAACAAATAAGTCTGAATACTTCTTCAAGAAAACTGGAATCCATACGCGATAACAGTATCATTCGAATTCAAGCAGAACAAAAGTTTTTAGAAGATATCAATTATAATAAATCAAAACTATGCTCAATTTCTAAAATCACAAAGTTTAGTAAAGCAATAGGTAACCATAAAATGTGTTCAAATATAATTAACAATAATTACAATATATATATATATATATATATATATATATATATATATATATATATATATATATATATATATATATATATATATATATATATATATATATATATATATATTTATATATTTATATATTGTAATTATTGTTAATTATATTTGAACACATTTTATGTGTGTATGTATGTGTGAGTGTGTGTATTTGTATGTTTTTAACGGAGTAGTCAGAATAATTTTTTAATTATTTAGATAAATCAGAACCTACAAAATTTTCTATTTATGAAAAAGAATTACAACTCTATTTTGAACAAATAAGTGATTTTATGCTGTGTGGTGAAGGAGTGTGGTGAAATTTAGAAAACAGCAACATTATTTTTAATGACGGAGAATTCGATCCCGATTTTATGGATATAGGTCCAGAATTAATGAATTTTGATAAAAACATTTTGTAATCAATAAAGTTATATTTAAGAACTTGTTGGCAAACTTGTATTGAAAAAAAAATCAGTCTGCCTCTTGACCAAGTAAATTGGTTAACAGATGTAAAAAATGCTGAAGGATATATTTCTGTATGCTATACTTGACCCTAATCAATTAAAGGATTTAAGGAATGTTGAAGAACTTGTTTATACTTGACTTTTGATTCAGCATGATATACATTGGATTTTGCAAATCAAAACTTAACATTTAATAAAGTAACTTTTGCTTTTCACATATTTATATAATTAAACTTATTAATATAACGATAAAAAAAATTATAACGATAAAAAAATTATATTATATATGTTGATTAACACATATTTTATTTTTTAAGCATAAAAATATATAAATAATTCCACTAACATTTTGTTGTTTTCTAGCAAATTATTCATTTTATTTAATGTTACTTTTAATATTAAAAGAATAACAAACCTTTCTTTGTATGTCTGCATTTCTGTAGATAGTTTTAAACTAATTGCTTTCTAACTTTATATATAAAAAGTTGGATATATACATACATATTATATGTATATCTCTCTCTCTCTATATATATATATATATATATATATATATATATATATATATATATATATATATATATATATATATATATATATATATATATATATATATATATATATATATATATATATATATATATATATATATATATATATATATATATATATATATATATATATATATATATATATATATATATAGGCCCTTTCAGAGGGGGAGCCACATGGGCCATATGGCCTGGACCTCCGATTTTGTTGGGGCCTCACATTTTTAAAACACATTTTTAAACACAAAAATAAATATCAAAGTAATTATTTTAATCTCATTGTTCTAAACAATTTAACTTTAGGTTAACTTAAAATAATATATTAATTTCTTTTTCATAAAAACACATTTCCAAACCTAAATTCGACATGATAATGATTACGTCATGTAATGATGCAATTAACCCTCCTCTAAAAAACCCTCAGTTTTTAAGTTATGACTTAGTGTTCTGCTTTTTAGTAGCTTCATTTTTTCTTAAATTTTTTAGCTGTAATTCATCAAACAAGATTAAATCAATTTGTTTTGAACTGTTTCTTATCATTTTGTATAAAATTGATATATTGAGCTTTTGTGCATTGCGTTTTGAACGTTACATTTCGTAGCTTTGAGAATAGTAATACTTTTTTGTTCTGGTAAATATTTTTTAATTTTAAAACATAATTCGTTTTATAAATTTGTATAAGTTCGATTGATGTATAAATTTATTATATTTTCAAATTTCAATATTATTTCCAGATAGCATTAAAATGAAGAAAAGATTTGCAAGTAAAAGACGGCGGAGAAAAGAATTGGCCAAAGAAGCATGCACCAACTCAAAGAAAATGTATTCGTTTTTAAAAAAATCACAAAACACAGTTCAAATTGAACAAGAAAAACCAAACTCAAAGTGTGAGTGACAATGGTAACATTGAAAATATAGTTGTTCCAATTGCAGAAGACCCAATTTTGGAACAACAACCAGCAGGAAATTTAAATATTATAAACCAGGAACGGGTTGAAACCGAAATCTCATTACAGGAAAATGCAGGTGAAAATAAAATTGGAGATATGGAAACAGAAATAACTGATCCGATTCATCAAGGTAATCCGTTCAATTTTATTGACATTGGGATTATCAACAAGAACAATTCCTATCAAGTAAACTCTTTTCTTAAGATTACTTGTTTTAAAATTCCAAATTATATCGTTAAAGACTGTAATCGTCATGCATTTCCTTATCGTTTCTTAAAAAAAACTCTTGCAAATGGAGAAACATGCAAAAGAGTCTGGTTGTGCTGGAGTGTTAAAAAAAAAATCTTTGTATTGTGCACCATGTTTTTTTTTTAACAAAAATGCTGTAAATGTGTCATTTTTCTCTAGTTCTGCCGGATGGGGCATCAGTAGAGGTTGGAGAAGATTGAAAGATCGTATTCCGTCGCACGAAAGTTCAATTTACCATAAAGAAAACTATGTTGTATGGAAATCTGCAAGTAGAGCAGCATTATGTGAAACTTCAGTGGATAATTTACTTTTATCAGAACTCAAGGCTGAAACTGAAAATTGGAAAAAGTTATTGCAACGTATTCTAGATGTTATTATTTTTCTTTCTGAACGTGGATTAGCACTTTTTGGTTCTAACCAACGAATAGGTGATTGAGCGAATGGAAACTTTTTAGGTATTATTGAGCTTCTCAGCAAATATGACCCACTTTTAGCTGAGCATGTTAAACATGTTCGAGAATCACAACAGTGTAAGCAGCAAACGCAAGTTCATTATCTTTCAATGCGAATTCAGAAAGAATTTATTGATATTTGTGGTTCACACGTTCAAACAGCAATCCTCCACCAAATTGTGAAAGCAAAATATTTTTCAATAATAGTTGATGCTACTCCAGATTGCTCGTACAAGGAACAAACTACTCTGGTTATTCGTTATGTTAAAATTTTAGATAATTCAAGCTTTTCAGTTGAAGAAAGATTTATTTTATTTGAAAATTTTTCAAAAAAAACTGGGAGAGAAAACGCTGCTCGAATACTAGAAATATTGAAAACTTTAAAGCTGGATTTTGAAGCCTGCATTGGTCAAGCTTACAACAACGGTGCTAATATGGCCGGAAAGTATAACGGGGTGCAAGCGGTTTTGATACAACAAAATCCAAACTGTATATTTTCTAGCTGCGGAAATCACTCATTAAATTTAGTTGATGTCCATTGCGCTGAATCATGCAAAGAAGCAGTAACGTATTTTGGAACAAATCAGCAAATGTACAATTTGTTCAGTAGCAGTCCGCAAAGGTGGGAAATTTTAAAACAACATCTTCCTGTTTCGTTGCATGGAATGTCCAAAACAAGATGGTCAGAACGGATTGATGATGCTAAACCAGTTGCACAACATTTGAACTCAGTAAGAAGTGCTTTAAATGAACTTGGGGTGCTACATTTAACAGCCCAGACTAAAATGGAACTTAATGCTATTCAAAAGTATATTTCCAAATTTGATTGCATTTTGATGTGGTCTATCTGGATGAAGCTACTCACAATGATTCATCAGACAAATCTAATCATCGAGACATGCCATGCCACTTTTGATATTGAAAAGGATAACATTGAAAATCTATGTAATAACATTCAAAGGTTGCGTGAACAATTTGATAAGATTTTAAATGAGTCAAAATTTGTTGCAAGAAATATTGGTGTTTCATGTGAGTTTTTAACTAATCGTCATTTTACAAGTCAAGTTGATGCTGAGTTGTATTATAAAATCGATATATATTTTGTCATCATTGACTCAATTAAATCTGGCCTCACGCGACGATTTCAGTCTTTACAAGAAATTTGTAAACTTTTTGGATTTCTTTGGCAGTTTAAAAATTTGAATGACGAAGATCTTGTATTGGCTCTTCAACATTTTCAGCACAAATATGACAAAGAAATATCACAAGAACTTGAAAATGAGGTTTTATTTTTTAAAAGAATCTATGGTGCTAATTTTAAACTAGACTGCACACCAAAAAAATTGCTGGAAGAAATACTTGGACTTGGTTTTTCAGGTGTCTTTCCAAACATTACAATTGCATTACGAATTTTTATCTGCTTGCGTGCATCGACGGCTTCGGGCGAACGCACATTTAATGTTTTAAAGCAGATAAAAAATTATCATCGTTCAGCTATGGGGCAGGAACGGTTGAATGGACTTGCAATGTTGAATATAAATTGCGAAATTGCACGAAAACTAGATTTTTCAAATATAATTGCTGCATTTTCAGAACAAAAAGCAAGAAAAGCGTTTGTAAATATTAATTAAAACTAATTCATTCTGTTTTACTTTTAGTGAATTTCTTTAGATTTCAATTTCAAAATGTGACATATTTAACTATTCATTTATAGTGACAAATAATTACATATCGAAAAAAACCAAATAATAAAAACCAATTTATAATTATTTATGCATGAATCGTTTATTTGTGAAATCTGAATTGTAACACTTACAGTGTAACATTCCACTCATACGTCGTACCTTCTTAATTCCCAGGCCTCCCCAAAAATGCGTTTTTAGTAGACAAGCGCGTCTCTTGGCTACTTGGCTTGATAAAACGTACATCTGTGTGTGACGGTCTGTCTAACTTTTTTTTTTTTTGTTTACATTTAACATAATATATATAAATTACATATTTCTCAAATACAAGCAAGGCTTCTAAAAGAAAATCACAATGATCTTATCGTCAGAAGCCTTTTACAAAAGAGACTACGCATAATATTATTAAAAAAAAAAAAAAAAAAAAAAAAACGTTATTACAATGAGCACGTAAAAATAACATAAAAACATTAGATTGTACTTAGATAAATAAAAATAAATCGTAAGCAAGTATAAAACAAAACTTGAAAATAAAAATTAATTTTTCATCACAAGATAAATTAAAAATATTCTAAGATATTTTCAATAGAGAGAATGAGATCTTTTAATTTATTTTTGAAAACAGGGTAAGTTAGTGGTAAGTCGAAGTTGGGCAAAATAATTTTGTTCCAGAGATGAGCTGCACGATAAGTGATACAAAATTGATTAAACTTTGTTCGACAGAGTAGTTTATTTAAATAATTATTATTTCTCATGTTAAGCTTGGTTAATGGTTTCAAAATAAAAAGGTCTTTAAAAATTAAAGGAGATAAATCATACTTCCACATATAAACAAAAGATAAATTTTTATATACGTTTGGTTTATATATATCGAGTATTTTCATTTGATTAAAAAATATTGAGGAATGTGCGAACCGATCCGCAGAATTAATTAAACGGATCGCATGTTTCTGACGGCGATAGAGACATTGTAACTTGCTTTGATTTGTGCTACCCCAGGCAATAACTCCATAACTTATATAACTATGAATAAAAGAGTAAAAAAGTTTTGTTAAATTATTTTTATCTAAATGAGTACGCGCCTTATATAAAATTCCGATACTTTTTGAAACTTTCGAGCAGACATAGTTAATATGATGTTTCCATGTGATGTTCTCGTCAATGAAAACCCCCAGGTATTTAGCTACAGAATCTCTTTTTATTTCAATAGGATTAATAAAAGTTTTTGGTAGATTTGGGGGAAGATAATGTTTTTTGGAGAGAGGGTGGAAAAGAATCCATTTTGTTTTGCATACATTTAATGTTAATTTGTTACTTTTAAACCATTTAGATATGTTTTAAAGTTCTTTGTTCATCTCGGAGAATAGTAGATAGATGTCTCTGTTCGAGAGAAATAAGTTTGTGTCATCAGCAAACATAATACTTAGAAGATTTGATGTTTTATGCAAGTCATTGATATATATTAAAAATAAAAGAGGGCCTAAGATGGAACCTTGCGGAACACCACAGGAAACATCTAAAAACTGTTTATGATTAAGTTCATTACAAGAAACAAATTGTTTTCTGTTAGATAAATAACTTTGAAACCAATTAATTATTCTTTCATTTATTCCGTAATAATTAAGTTTATAAAGCAAAATATTATAATCGACAGTATCAAATGCTTTTGAAAGATCGATAAAAATTCCTAATGTGAATTGAGATTTTTCAAAAGAATTTGAAATTTCACGAACCAACTGAATAATTGCATGCTCAGTTGAGTTATTCTTTTTAAAGCCAAACTGATTGTTTAATAATAAGTTTTTTAAACTAAAATAATTAAATACTCTATTAAACATGATTCTTTCTAGTATTTTTGAAAATATAGACAAGATAGAGATAGGCCGGTAATTACTAATGTCAGATTTGTCACCATTTTTATTGCAATTTAATTGTAATTTATTGCATTTAGTTTTATAGTTAAACATTTATCGGGTCCTAATCTATCTGAAGACTTAAATGGGTTTTCATTAAATTGCGTCGCATTTTGCGCAAATTTTTCATTTGGGGCCTCCGATTTTTAACTGGCCGGCGCCTCTCCAGACCTCTGAACGGCCCTGTATATAAATATATATATATATATATATATATATATATATATATATATATATATATATATATATATATATATATATATATATATATATATATACATATATATATGTATATATATATATATATATATATATATATATATATATATATATATATTTATATATATATATATATATACATATATATATGTATATATATATATATATATATACATATATATACATATATATACATATATATATATATATATATATATATATATATATATATATATATATATATATATATATATATATATATATATATACACATATATATATATACATATATATATATAAATATATATATGTGTATATATTAGGGTGGTGCAAAAAAAAATTTTTTTTAATTTCTTTGATGGTACCATTTCTTTATGTGACATTATGTATAGGAATAACAATCGTGAAGTTTGGGTATGATTGAATAATTTTTAAAGTTGCTCATCAACATCAAGTTTTTTACTTTTTGGGTTTGAGTTCTCTTTTAGTGCGCAATCCCAAATTTTGAATAAATTATGATACAACATTGCATTTTAACTCTTACTGTATATTAATCCAAAACCAAGCAGTATTTTTTAAACTGAATTATATATATTATTGTTTACAAATAAAATAATTGAAGAATAAAGTAATAAACTTCTGGTTTATAATAACGTATTTGTGTTCACTATAGTAAAAACAAATTTAAAAAACAATAATAGTTCCAAAAAATCTTAAAAATTGTTAGAGTTTTAGGTTTCATTTATATTTCAGCTTCTTTGCAAAAAATTATTGTAATCTATGAAAAAAAATTCATTGGTTTTTGTTTCCATCGTTTTTTGATGACTTGGTTCCATCGATCAACAAAGATTTCTGTGGCAGAGGAAACTTTAACCTGTGTTCAGAGACTACCTGCAACAAGAATTGCTTTTGTTCTTCATTTTTGTTAATTGAACAATTAAAATCCTGAATTAGTTTTACTCCTCTTTCAGCCGTATCATTAACAACTCGTAGACTTTTTACAATTTTTTCTGCCTGTTGAAACTCTTCATTTTCGGTCCACTTGTCAGGATCAACAGTTGTCAAAAAAGTAATTGGTAATTCCAAAATGTTGAAAAAATTTAAGGTATTCTCTGTTACAAAACTTTCTATTTGCAGATTTTCAATTGAAGTTAAATCGATTTTTATTATTTTCTGTGGTTCATCCTCTCTAGCATTATGTACAGCCAAAACCATTTTTGCTTTTGTCTCCTTGCTGATCTCCTTATCAAAAAAAGCCAATGCTACCATTTCTTCACTTAGATACCATAAATGCCTCGAAAATGCTGTTGCTGCAGCTGTAAAAATTCCATTGTTAATGGCTTTATGTTGAAAAACAGTCTTCAAGAAAGTGAGATCATTCGACGGAGCAAGTGTTGAATTGGTACATGATATCCAAAATTTGGTGTACACCAAACTAGCAAACAAGCTAATACCTCGAAGTGATTTTTCTTCTTTTGCCGTTAATTTGAACTGCCTTTTGAACATCCATATTTTCATTAAATATAAAATTTTGGCCATCCACCTTCCTCTGTGTATGGCTCCGGGAGCCATTACATGAGCCCCACGAGGAGGAACATCACCAAGAAACAACAAGGTTAGTTCCAACAATTCCTTGTAGTCATCTCGATATTGTTTACCAGATTCAAGAATTGTTTTCAAATAAAATAGTGCATCCTGTTTGAGTATGGTGTGAGAAGCCAAAATGTCCGAACATGTTTGATCATTTAACGCTGTTTCATAATTATTTTTGTCAATTAATGACCACTTGTCACAAAAACGTTTAAATAATCCTATTTCAGGACCACTGGATTGCCCAAGAGAATGCTTAAAAACATCACTCAAGACGATTTCATACATATGATGACGGCATGCCAAGTGTAATAGTTCTCTATTAAGCTTTTTTTCAATTAAAGTACACGCTCCAGCTTCGGTACCAGTGTTGGCAGCCGTTTTATCAAAACTAATTGCTTTAACTCGGTCTTGAATGTCCCAATCTAGTAAAGTTGTTATAACAGCTTTACTTATTGCTTTACCAGTACCCCTTGTTAACTTTGGAATGCAAAGAAGCTGGTCAACGTTGTAACCTGTAACAACAACTGCTAATCGATCAACTGAATCTCTTCCAGTAATATTTGGCAATATTTTGCCATCAAAATGAACAGTCAATGGAACATTTGACGAGTTGAATGCAAACTTTATGGTTGTAGCAATTTTGTTTCGATTAGTAATTCTAGCTCTCCGGATCGTATCGCGACTAATAGCAAAATCTGTAATGTCATGAGTAAATAAGTCGCTTGGCGATCCGTGACGTTGGTTTGGTCAAGAGCAGATGCTAACTCAGGTGAAATGATATTTTGAGATCGCGATCGCTTTTTTACAACATTTTGATTAGATTTCTTTGGTTTCATAAATTCTTCATCTGAGGTTTCAGTGCCAGATGTAGACTTGTCAGATAGGTGCATTGAATCAATGTGACTTGTATTTTCAGCTTCTTTTTTTCGCTTTTTTTCCTGAAAACGTCTGGACTCTTCTAATTCTTTTCTTTTCTGGACACGTTCTTCTGTTTTTGTCAATGCCATGTCAACTCCGGCCATGTATCCCTTACGTTCACCTCGCTGATCTATTAGAAATAGTTTGTCTTCTTCAATTGTAATCAAACTCATGGCATCAGTATGTGCTATATTAAAAATGCGATCAATTTCTTCACAAAAAACATTTTCATTTGCTGTTTGTGTTGCCGAAGCTCGTTTCATGTTTCTCTTTATTTTAGCCCATTTGTAAAAAATATTTTCAAGTTTTTCAATTGCATTACGTTCAATAGTTGTTGGAATTCTTG